GGCCGCCATCTTGGTTGGCAGTTAATTTGCATATCTCACTGATTAGCCAATGGGAAGGGTAGCGGCCGTACAGCTAATTACCATGTTTCTCTTTTATTAGATAGGATAATAAAAGTGTAATATGCTAATTAGACCAGACAGCCAAACAAACTTCCGGACGTCCTTCCGGACGACCTTCCAGATGAAGCCAGGATCTGCGATCGACCAGTGATGTCTGTCCTGAGTGAGCAGGTGTGGCAGGGGCCCTTATGCAAACCTTTCCCTCTGAGCAGCTCTCTCTGTTCCAGGCACCTACGTGATGACAGTCACGGCCAATGATGCTGACGACAGCACCACGGCTAACGGGATGGTGCGGTACCGGATCCTGACCCAGACCCCACAGAGCCCGTCCCAGAACATGTTCACCATCAACAGCGAGACAGGGGACATTGTGACCGTGGCCGCCGGCCTGGACCGAGAGGTGAGGTGGGCGCCGTGGGCTGGGGAGAGACTGACTCAGCTCTGGTTGTGTCCCCTGAGCCCCCTGTTCCATAGAGGACATCAGAGCTCCAGCATGACCTCTCCAGTGGGACACAGTCCAGAGGCACCAGGATGCTGGCCCAGGATGCGTGACCTGGGTGCCTGGGACAGACCCAGGATGACATGCCCTGGGGGCCTGGGACAGACCCGGGATGCGGGTCCTGGGTGCCTGGGACAGACCCGGGATGGGTGTCCTGGGTGCCTGGGACAGACCCAGGATGACATGCCCTGGGGGCCTGGGACAGACCCGGGATGCGGGTCCTGGGTGCCTGGGACAGACCCGGGATGGGTGTCCTGGGTGCCTGGGACAGACCCAGGATGACATGCCCTGGGGGCCTGGGACAGACCCGGGATGCGGGTCCTGGGTGCCTGGGACAGACCCGGGATGGGTGTCCTGGGTGCCTGGGACAGACCCAGGATGACATGCCCTGGGGGCCTGGGACAGACCCGGGATGCGGGTCCTGGGTGCCTGGGACAGACCCGGGATGGGTGTCCTGGGTGCCTGGGACAGACCCAGGATGACATGCCCTGGGGGCCTGGGACAGACCCGGGATGCGGGTCCTGGGTGCCTGGGACAGACCCGGGATGGGTGTCCTGGGTGCCTGGGACAGACCCAGGATGACATGCCCTGGGGGCCTGGGACAGACCCGGGATGCGGGTCCTGGGTGCCTGGGACAGACCCGGGATGGGTGTCCTGGGTGCCTGGGACAGACCCAGGATGACATGCCCTGGGGGCCTGGGACAGACCCGGGATGCGGGTCCTGGGTGCCTGGGACAGACCCGGGATGGGTGTCCTGGGTGCCTGGGACAGACCCAGGATGACATGCCCTGGGGGCCTGGGACAGACCCGGGATGCGGGTCCTGGGTGCCTGGGACAGACCCGGGATGGGTGTCCTGGGTGCCTGGGACAGACCCAGGATGACATGCCCTGGGGGCCTGGGACAGACCCGGGATGCGGGTCCTGGGTGCCTGGGACAGACCCGGGATGGGTGTCCTGGGTGCCTGGGACAGACCCAGGATGACATGCCCTGGGGGCCTGGGACAGACCCGGGATGCGGGTCCTGGGTGCCTGGGACAGACCCGGGATGGGTGTCCTGGGTGCCTGGGACAGACCCAGGATGACATGCCCTGGGGGCCTGGGACAGACCCGGGATGCGGGTCCTGGGTGCCTGGGACAGACCCGGGATGGGTGTCCTGGGTGCCTGGGACAGACCCAGGATGACATGCCCTGGGGGCCTGGGACAGACCCGGGATGCGGGTCCTGGGTGCCTGGGACAGACCCGGGATGGGTGTCCTGGGTGCCTGGGACAGACCCAGGATGACATGCCCTGGGGGCCTGGGACAGACCCGGGATGCGGGTCCTGGGTGCCTGGGACAGACCCGGGATGGGTGTCCTGGGTGCCTGGGACAGACCCAGGATGACATGCCCTGGGGGCCTGGGACAGACCCGGGATGCGGGTCCTGGGTGCCTGGGACAGACCCGGGATGGGTGTCCTGGGTGCCTGGGACAGACCCAGGATGACATGCCCTGGGGGCCTGGGACAGACCCGGGATGCGGGTCCTGGGTGCCTGGGACAGACCCGGGATGGGTGTCCTGGGTGCCTGGGACAGACCCAGGATGACATGCCCTGGGGGCCTGGGACAGACCCGGGATGCGGGTCCTGGGTGCCTGGGACAGACCCGGGATGGGTGTCCTGGGTGCCTGGGACAGACCCAGGATGACATGCCCTGGGGGCCTGGGACAGACCCGGGATGCGGGTCCTGGGTGCCTGGGACAGACCCGGGATGGGTGTCCTGGGTGCCTGGGACAGACCCAGGATGACATGCCCTGGGGGCCTGGGACAGACCCGGGATGCGGGTCCTGGGTGCCTGGGACAGACCCGGGATGGGTGTCCTGGGTGCCTGGGACAGACCCAGGATGACATGCCCTGGGGGCCTGGGACAGACCCGGGATGCGGGTCCTGGGTGCCTGGGACAGACCCGGGATGGGTGTCCTGGGTGCCTGGGACAGACCCAGGATGACATGCCCTGGGGGCCTGGGACAGACCCGGGATGCGGGTCCTGGGTGCCTGGGACAGACCCGGGATGGGTGTCCTGGGTGCCTGGGACAGACCCAGGATGACATGCCCTGGGGGCCTGGGACAGACCCGGGATGCGGGTCCTGGGTGCCTGGGACAGACCCGGGATGCGTGTCCTGCTGGTGCGTGTGTTTTGGATGGCAGTGGGGACCCCAAGTGCCATGAGCCTAGACCTCAGACTCGGCAAACCTGCCGGGTCTTGTCTTAGCACGTTGTCGCCCCCGTGCCTGTCAAATCAACACCAGTAGAAGTGCCAGGTTGTGGCGTGGAGAGTGCCACCGCCCCTGCCCTGGGAAGTGCCGGGTGGTCAGGCAGCCACAGGGAAGGTCATTTGTGCCGCCTGGTGGCTCAGTAGGAGGCAGGGCGTCCCCAGTTGCCTCTCAGGGCCGTGGGCACGTAGAGGCTGCCTCCAGACCAGGCACCTGCCTCTGTACAGTGGGCACAGCCTCGCCAGCCTCCTGGGCTCCGCCGGGGTGGGCAGAGGCCCTGCGGCCCGGCCAGAACTGGCAACGACGGTGTGGGTGGGGCTTCATGGGGGAGGTGGGCCGGGACCCTAGGCTCAGGGGGCCTTGGCCAGTCCGGGCACCTCCATCTTGTGCCTGGAGGCCCCACCACCCTCCGGGTGGCCACCAGGTGCCTGCTCTGCCCCGTGAGGCCTGCAGGAGCCGGTCAGGAGCCCAGCCTGGCTTCTGGAAGTCTGTTGTCATTAGCGGGGAGGGGGGGTGGGGGGGAAGGGGTGTCCTGTGATCTGACACAGTGAGGTCCACCCACACACTAAGCAAACCAAATACCATGCCCGCACTCCCCCACTCAGGGCAGCCTGCCTGCCCTGGGGAGAGGCTAAAGCGACACCCCTTTCTCCAGCTGTCACCTGGCCCGGGGCTTTCACTCCCTTGGGGAGAGCACTGAGGGCAGTGACGGGGCATCCCGCCCACGTGAGCGAGCATCTCCAGCTCCTGTCTCCACTCCTTTAGCCAGTGGGTGCCAGGGACCGCTGTGGGCAGGGCACCAGCGGCCCAGGGAAGCTCCACACGGGCCAAGCGCCTAGCACTGAGTCGTGGATGAATCATCCATCGGCCCGAGCAGCAGCGTCCCCAGGTGGAGGAAGGACCTGACACTGCGCCAGTCAGCAGGTGCCCCCCCGCCCGCGTCCCCACCTTCCCAGGGAGGCTCCGCGCCAGCTGGAGTGGCCGCGCCGCCCCGCCCGATTCCACACGGGCGTCCATCAGAGCCGAGCTTCCGCAAACCACCACGTTCAGGGTGAGCATGTCGCCTGCAAGCGTGGCTGGTCCCTGCTTTTATTTGCTCTGTCTGGCAACACTGCCCACCCGGAGGCAGCCGGCGGTCTGGGCCCGGGACGGGGCCAGGCAGGTGGGGTCGGCCATCCGCCAAGGCGCCTCTCTGAGAAGCCTGGCTTGCTCCGGGCCTCCCCCTCCGTGCCCCGGGTGACACTGCGGAGGTGAAGCTAGACGGTGCCGACGGGCGACAAGGTCCCTGAGAGCCGGCTCTGCTGATCGGGGAGATGGGCAGGCAGGGGCACGGCAGGCAGGGCCTCCAGACATCAGGGCTGAACGTATGGCTGGCCCCGCGCCGGCCCAGCTGTCACTCAAGACAGGATCCCGCCCTCGCAGGGAGCTGTTTGCCGGCAGCTACCGAAGGAGCCCTCCCCAAAAATGACACTGAGCGAGCTGCAGAGGGCCGGCCTCGGAGGTGCCGCTGGCTCCTGGGCCGGCAGTGCCTGGCTGCGGTGGCTCGTGGAGCCTCAGCTTCCCGCCAGGAAGGGCTGGTGTGGGCAGTTTCTCCCAAGACCCGCTCACAGGCTGTGGCTGCACAACCGACTGGCCAGGGCGCACGGCAGGGCCTTCCCGCTTCCTTCTCTGTGGGAGCACCGACCCCGAGTGGCAGCGCCTCTGCGGGCACCGAGTGGCTCCCTGCTGGGCAGAGGGGGGATCCAGGAAGGGCAGAGCTCACACCTCCTTGCCACGTGTCTGGGTAGCAGATCCTGTGAGTGGAGCACTTCTGCGTGACTGAAATGTCGGCAGCGGCCTGGACAACACGCACGCCGTTCCAGTCTCTTGTGCAGAGGGAGGTGCCCTCTGGGAGCCCGTTCATCCGCCCGGCTCGCTAATGAGCGTCCTGGCCTGAGAAGATGGGGTGTGGCGGGCGGGTTCCACTCACGCTGAGGGTAGCTTTGCTCTGATGGCCCAGCGGTGTGAGGTGCACGGAGCCCCGCATCCCAGACCACTTCCAGGCTCCGGGTGGAGTTCATCCCACCCTGACGACCTCCGCCCGACCTCTGTCCCCCAGTGTGCGGACCCCATCTTCATCGACCTGAAACTCCCTCCCAAACTAGGGGGCCGATGGATTCTCTCAGGGTCCCTGGGTTTCCTGATGTGTTTTCAAGACTGTCCAGCCTACATCTTCATGAGAGGAGGCGGGCCCAGGGCTGCTGGGCATCGTGCGGACGCAGTGACCGGCCACGCGGTACAGACCCAGGAGGCGTTCTTAGGTGACAAGACCACGTGGCCCTTTGCTCTGTGAGCCGCGTCATGACGGCCACGCAGGATATTCTGGTAGTGTCTTCCCAGGAGGCGACTCCGTGAGCCCTGCGCGGCCAGGCCCGGTCCGCGGGGAGGCGGGCCAGCGTTTCTCGGAGGCCGAGCTCTGACGCATTTTTGCGGGTCCCGCTCTCAGACCCAAGCGCAGTGTTGTGGTCTCAGAGAGGAAAGTTAACAGTTAAGACAAATTTGCCACCAACAACCTCATTTGCATATTCATCCCTGAAGTCTTGCTTGTCCCCCAAAATAGAGAAGAGGAAGAAGGAGAAAACTGAGCAAAGCACTAGCATCACTTCCCTGCCGCC